TACATTTTGGTATTTTCTTTCTTTCTTATCTTTTTAATGACCTTTTGCTTTCTTCATGTATGAAGTTCTTGGTTTCATCCCACAACTCATCAGGTCTTTTGGTTATTCGTTTTCATTGCATCAAATCTATTGCTCAGATGATCTCTAAATAATGGTAGGATATATTCAAAGCTATATTTTGTCTCTTGTGGACTTATTTTAATTTTTTTTCAGCTTCAAATTGAATTTGTGTATGTGACATTGATGGTCTGTTCCACAGTCAGCCCTTGAATTTGTTCTGACTGATGATATTGAGCTTCTCCATTGTCTCTTTCCACAGATGTAGTCAATCTGATTCCTGTGTATTCCATCCATGTACAGTCACTGTTTATGTTGTTGAAAGAAAAGGAATTTTCAATGAATAAGTCATTGGTCTTACCAAATTCTATCATGCGATGTCCAGCAACATTTCTATCACCAAGGCCACATTTTCCAACTTCTGATCCTTCTTTTTTGTTTCCAACTTTCACATTCCAACCACTAGTAATTATCAATGCATTGTGATTGCATGTTTGATCAATTTCAGACTGCAGAAGTTGGTAAAAATCATTTTTCTTCATCTTTGGTATTAGTGGTCAGTGCATAAATTTGAATAATAATTTTATTAATTGGTATTCTTTGTAGGCACATGGATAATATCCTATCATGACAACATTGTACTTCAGGATAGATCTTGAAAGGTTATTTTTGACAATGAACGAGACAGTGTTCTCCAGTTTGTCATTCCTGGCATAGTAGACCATATGATTATCTGATTCAAAATGGCCCAAACAGTCCATTTCAGCTCATTAACACCTAGGATATCGATCTTCATGCATTCCATGTCATTTTTGACAACTTCCCATTTTCCGAGATTCATATTCCCTACATTCCATATTCTGATTATTAATGGATATTTACAGCTGTTTCCTTCCATTTGTGTCATACCACATCAGCAAATGAGAGTCTGAAAATTTTGCTCCATCCATGTCATTAAGCTTGACTCTATGGTGTAGTGGATAAAACATTTGCCTGCTAACCAGAAGGTAAGTGGTTCAAACCTACCAGCCACTCTGCAGAAGGAAGATGGGGCAATATACTTCCGTAAAGATTTACAGTCTCGGAAATCCATTAGGGGTCACTATGAGTCGGAATCGACTTGATAGCAGTGAGTTTTTTTTTTGTTTCCTACTTTGAGGAGGCAGCTCTTAGCAGTTGTACTTTGAGTGCTTTCCAACCTAAGGGGCTCATCTTCTAGCATTATATCAGACAATGTTCCACTGCTCTTCATAGAATTTTCAGTGGCCAATTTTTTCAGAAGTAAGTCCCCAAGTCCTCCTTCCTAGTCTGTCTTAGTCTGGAATTGCCAATGAAACCTGTCTGCTATGAGGTGTCAATTTCTATATATATAGTATATAGAAATTAGTAAGCCTCTTTTTCTCTATAAAGTGATATATCAAGTCTGTCTTTAGACTCTAACAGATAGACAGCTGAGAAATATAAATTGTTGTCAATCATTCACATTTTGCTAATTAATGTTTCCAAATATAACCAGATGTTTCACATTATTCAGAATAAGCATCTGCCTTTCTACTTTCAATTCAGATAGCTGGCATCACTTTAGCCCAGGCTGGGTCTCCTGATTCATGAGGGGTTGATCTCAGAAAGTTTATTGACTCTAGCAAACCAGAGTTCAAAATTACTCAGAATATACAGCAGCCAAAAATAAGAAAAAATAATGCCTATTATGAACTGGCAATATTTGATCTGACAAATGGGGAGAAAAAAATACTTAGTAAGAATAGCATATACTAAGAAAATGACATATTCCAAATGAGTCAGACATAGCTTATTATATGTCTTGCTTATGGTATCATATTTAAGGTAAAAATTATTAGCTGATAGTAAGAGTAAAGTCATCATTTCATTAAGCAGAGAGGAAGACATATTGATTCTGTTAATTAAGTAATAAAAGCTGGCTTATATTCCTTCTGCAAATGGTTAACATTTGTAAAGGAATAAACTTTGTTATTTATTTCAGAGGATCATTCATATCAGGAGGAGCATATTTATTTAATTATTTTAGGAGGAGTATATTTAAAAAGAAGATTTATCCATGAAAAACTTCACAGTAGACTCCTGTGTAGCATGGACAAAGAAGTAATGTAGTGATCTGGGGCCTTTGTGCTGATTAGGAACAACAACGAAATCTTGACCCAACATCAACAAGGGAATAATTTGAGTTCTTCGCAGAGTCACCTACTCAGCCTTTGTGACCAAGAACTTTTTAGATGGTTGGCAGTTAGGAATGTTGGTTGTGGTGATGCTACCTTGTCCATATAGGAACTGAACTTACAACTCTGGCCTCAACAATACCACGTGGCAAATAACATTTATATGGTTAACGCAGTCACAAAAACACAAGTCAACCAAGACACTAGGAATGACTTGATTATTCATATAAATTTAAGAAAATAAACCACAAATGAAATGATGCAGATTGTGTCACAAACTGCATTCTAGGACAGAGGTAATCAAGGAAAAAGACATACTCAGTTATGTTACAAGCTGAAGTATCCACTTTATTTAATGGACAGTATGTTTCCTTAAAAAATGACTAACAAAGTATGGTTATACAGACTTTAAGATTTGCAGATATGTTGTTTAAAATGAATGAAGAAAGCCTGCCAATTCAATGAAAAAACTACTGATAGTATTCATTAACAATGATAAAATTTGTCCTTTCAAGTGAAAATTAGAAGTTTGAAAATTTGTATCTCCCATCC